ATATGAAAAATACCAGTTCAGTAAATTTAACGAGTTCGATGTCCCATTAATATCCTTGACTACTAGTAACTTATTCGCTGTCTAATCTCCGACTTCCTGGATTTTTTACAATGTTCTGCTTTGCCTGTCCTTTTGTGCCCCTTTCCAGGTTTAGGTGGATCACTTGACAGGATGCATTTTCTGTTGAAGTCATCATGGGTAGTTCATCGTCGCAGAGCTTGCTGGAGTTGTTGGTAAAAGATGTTAAATGATGTTGAAGGATGTTTGTCATCAAAGAGATGAGTTGGGAGATTGCGCTCTTGCCACCGATGATAACACAGAACACGATCGCGCGACCGTGATCAATCTCCCAACTCATCTCTTATATAGATCAGACACAGAGTAGGACAAGCGCTATTGCGCTGCTTGTCAATTTTGGACACGGAATGCAATAAGTAGTGCAACTAAGTTTCGCAATCGTCGATTGAGAAACACGGAAGACCGTCTCCTCAAACGATTAATGGAAGATATACTATCTTTTGGATAACCTGTAGTATTTTAGGGGCCTTCTATCTATTGACGGCGGTTAGACTACCCATTTTACAAACAAGTACAATAAAGAAATCAGGTACAACGTTTAAATACAGTTTGAGGTGAAGTGAAACCCCCTCAAATCAGTCGATTCGAAGAAGACACTTTTTTTTTAAGGGTATTTGATAGAGCTGTCTGCAATTTTGACACATGACTCGTGAGCATCTAGAAATTATCCTGACACTTTCGAAATTTGGATTTTTTCACGAAATTTTCCAACTCTGTCCAGACCAGAACCCACACGGCATCGAGCTCTAATATATCGATTGAAATGTAATTACCGAAGGCTTTAATATGTTAAACGAAAGTGTTAGGACAATTGTACGACAATTTAGAACACTCTTGTAATCGATACACTCGCATTTGAACGGGATAAAGGTAAAAAAGTGTCTTATGCGCTTCTATGCTAAAACGATGGGAACACGAGGTAGAAATTTGCAATTTTCTCGAAAACTATTAGCTCTATCGATATGAAATAAGAGTGTCTGTTTTTACGTAAAAGTCCTTCAGGTATCATATTCTAAAACCAAAATGTGAAAGAAATGTCCATTAAAAAATGGGGTTATTTTTACCCTTAACCCCTTCGGTATGAGACGCTTCTGATTAAAATTTTGAGACTCTGAGCTACGATTCCGAATCAGCATCAAAAGTTTATGTGGTGTACCAAATTTCATAATTTCAATATGGACGGTTTGGAAAATATTGAGGAAAACCGTCCTCAGGGTGCCCCATTGGAAGGGGCGTAGCTCCCTTAGAAAGCATTTTTCGACAAATGTTTATATGAACTTTTCTTCATAAAAATACCTCAGGAATCACCCCTTGAATTTTTGCCGCATGTTTAGGAAACGCCCTGTATACATCCTCATTTGTCAAAAATTGTTAGACAGATTTATCATCCTAGATTCCGCATTTAAAAGAAGAACCATGATGCGTACATGCTCAGACATGACCATTTTTTTTTATTAATTTCCGATAGCATTCGATAATTTTAAAGTCTGTTTATTGAAGTATCGGAAAATAGAGAAGAAACATTAATAGTTAATTAAAATTGAATAATTTCGCTACCACGTTGCTGTCGGCGGTTATTTCTATAGACATATTCTGTGAATTTGCGTGGAAAATTTTAACTACATGGAGCCAACAGAAAGAGACTTTTTGCAATGTTTTCCGATAAAGTATGAAAAATGGTTTTAAAGTTTCAAAACAGTATTTCTATATAAAATGATAAAATATGCACTTAAAGGTATGATTAATAACACGTTTACACTGTATTTATCTGTTTGAAAAATGGGTATTTTCACATTGTACATAGATATGAGCCTCCTTAATTCAAACGACGTAATACTTGATAAAAAATATTATTAGTGGCAAATAAATATTGTTTAAAGTTAACGCAGGAAAGAGTTTGCCGATAAATTACAGAAGTTTGAGAGATAACGTCAGATTTATGTAAATCTATCAAATTTTACTTTGGTACAAGAATGTTATTAATTCTTCTAAAGCTTTCCATTTTTTTAAACAAATTAACTTTTCATTTCAAGACGTTTATATACAGAAAATTTAATGATAATGAATAATAAAAGCTTGGTGGGGCTAAACTTAAGAAACTCAAATTTTATTTCAAATTTGTATTAATTTCATTCTATGAACCCTGTAACTTATTTTGTTAACAAGCAAAAATCCTTGTCACAAAACCTCCTTGTATGGAAAGTAATTTTTTCACTCGGTGTGTAAATTCATCGCTTCAATGACTTAGGAACTTCAAAAAGTATTTTTTGCAATCTGTAAAGGATCTATAACATTTTGTATCGAGTCGACACCAGAAATTTGAGACGCAAAGGACAGAATAGCTACTTGACTTTTCAAATTAGGCCAATAGTTATCGTCTCACAAAGTGGTATCAATGCTAATGTTTTGCTTTGTTTAATATGCTAATTGTTCAAAATCAAATTTCTTGTAATTGAATCGCTGTCAGACACAAATGCAGAAAATGTCTACATGACAGTATACCTCGAAGAAATTAGTTTATTAATATTAAGTAGTTCATAAAATTCTCTACAGACAACCAGGATACGGATCCACTCTATTTTTGCGCAGAACAAATTGGATTTTCCGGTTCATGTCTTCATCATAGATCGCTTTGCACCGCTCATAGTTCACTCTCCGTCTGCATCTTGTAGGCTTCTCGTAAAACATCATTTGTCGCCATCTTTCAAAGATTCCTTCACGACCCATGAGACGATTTAATACTCGACAAGCACCGTCGACGTCTCCATTCTGTACAAAGACAGTGCGTGCAATGAACGGAGTGTGCTTTATGCCTCTCATCTGAAATTCAATAAAATAATTCCCATCTGTTATTTGTTTACTTAGACTTCGTTGATGAAAGAAGGTTGCGATCTATCTCGGAAATAATTTCCTGAAAATTATCACTACATGCATTAATAAATCTGGTGTACATCAAGAAGTGATTACTTACATTATTAACTAATTCGTTTAAACTCTTGGTAGTAACAGAAAAAAATGTTGGTTCATTGAACAAAATTGTTTGATTGCATTCGGTTTGTTTAAAAAAATCTTTTGGTTGAGTGAATCGAATTTTATTTCGTACGTTTTAACTCGTTGGCATCAATCTACTAAAGCGTTCTGATTAAATTGTTTTGTGAATTTCAATGAAAATATTTTAGTCGATAAACCGAACATCTCGGTTAAGTAGACCAAATTACTTTATTATTTGCTGCGATCTACCACAATTTTTGTGATTAACCAAAGAATTTCTTCACGTCAATCAAATACTTGGTTACCCATAAAATATTCATATTTTATGATACCAACAAAATATTTTTTTCTGCATAGTTTCATTTTGTATACTCAGGTTAATTTAGAGGTTAGAAAAGAGCATTATCTTTATACTTTCGAAACTGTATTTGATAAATTGTGCACTTGTTGTTAATGAAATGAAACGTATTAAACGTACCTACGATTCCACAATGAAACTGATTTATCAATATACTTACGTTAAATTATTATTAAAACGTGTGCATGGATGCATTCAATGACTTGAGGCACTAGCGCCATCCGAATGCAAAATTACGTCCTTTTTACTCAAATGGTTACTACCAGCGTTCTACTAAGCGGGTCGAATGTCACACAGAGCGCGGTGGTTTAACGCGTTGCGCTTGTGACTAGGTTTCCATCCTCGACGCGACGACGCTCTTCTGTATGACACTAGCCACGCTCAATAGGACACCTGCCTTACCACACGGTCGACCAAACTCGGTCGATAAAGTTGCTCACTCCTAAAATTAACTCTGCATTCGTGATGATTACAGAGATTATGGGATATTTATTTTTAGCTCATATACACGATGAATCATTCAGAAACCTTTATAGATCTAAGGAACGCAAGTTTCCGTAGAATCAGACGGATACTCGTAGGAAAATCGCACGTGGCCCAGAAAAATGATATTCAGTAAAGTTATGACGACAAAATAGACCACCAGACAGTAGACAATCTGGAAAAGAAAATTGTATGCATTATTTGTTTGCATTTCTGTACTTCGATCTAAAAGGGATGTACGAAAGTTTGTTTTTTCTTCGATCTAAGAAAGTTACATCACTTTTTGGATCAGATGTATTTAACTTAACTTCCCAATAAACATAAAGTGGTGGAATACACGTTCAGAAATTATGTTAAACCGTTGACAGTACCCGTATAAAGTGGGTTTAAAGAAAATGTATTTTTTTTATTTAATGTCCGCCCTTTCCACGAAAAATTCAACGTTAATATAACGTTTATTCTACGTTTATTAAACTGTAGTTCTAATCGTGTGACATGAACATCGTTTAAACGTCGTCTGTACGTAAGATAATCGTTCATACCCACTGAACACCAAACCTAACAGTTAGGTAACTTAAAACTAACAAATAACATAACGTTTGTTACAAGGTAATAATATAACGGTTACGTAACATAGAGCTAACTAGTTACATGACATTTGTTACAATGCAGGAACTTAACAGTTATGTAACATGGAGCTAACAGGTTACATAACATTTGTTACTATCATATCTATATAAATGTAACGTAACTTTGTTACTCTTATCTCACACTACATTACTGTCCTGATATTACTGTATATATGCAGCACATATTTGTAACAAAAGAGTACTACATTGGTGCTGTCATCCATTTTAGTGCATCATCGTCATCGTCATTGTCATAATTCATTGTCAAATGTCATAAGATTATTATATGTCATATTTCGTTTACTACTCGTATGAAAAGATGACATTAATTTGTACTCGCATACACATTATCAGTAATTGTTTGCTAGTCGAATGAAATCATGGTCTTTAAATAAAATCAGATAGTTCATCGTTCACATAATTTCAGTTAAAGTCTGATTTATTATATAATATCTAACTATTGCCAAGTGTCACAAAATAATGCAAAATAAGAAATTTCATAATTTTGTATGAAATTGCATTATTTTTTATTAAATGTTTGAAGAGTTAATATTATTTTAAGGTAACTGAACTTATAATATTAATATAACATGTTACATAACATGTTACCTTATTGAGTAGGAAATAATAACAAACGTCTAACTTCCATGATACTTTTATGCTACATAACGTTAGCTTCGAAAACGTAACATTTACTTAACAGTTGTATAACAGTGTTCGGTGGGTAATCGTTTACTGTACGTTCAAATAACGTTAAAATGTTACACTAAAGTACACTTTTCATCTCAACTAGGGATAAACACATCGAAAACTTAACACGAAAATTTAAAGTTTCTCATTAATGTATATTTAACTTAGAGAAATAACCGTGGGTGGATAAACGTTTAATTTTTTACGTCTATCACCCTTTCACCACTAATTTTGTGCGCATAAAACGTGAATTCCCCTACTTTGTATTAATGGGGTTAGTATTTTATATAAACAATTGTAATGATACATAAATATTGCCTAAAGTTGGTGGAAAAACCAAAAAAGTTGGTTGATAGCAGCCAGTTAAGATCTATTCGACACACAAATTTCTTCTTTTTGGAAAATTATTTTTCCATTCAGTGTAATGGATAAACAAAAAAATCAGGCATTCACTGGAAACGTTTAATTCCATTCTATTTCAGTCTTGTTGCCGAGTTATTTTGTAAATTCGATTTTTTTTCTTGTATAAATGACAAAGGACTCGTTGATTAAGTAATTTTTTCAATGGACGCATTATTTTGAATGTTATTATTTTCTAATATTATTTACTTTTTCTTGTATAAATGACAAAGGACTCGTTAATTAAGTAATTTTTTCAATGGACGCATTATTTTGAATGTTATTATTTTCTAATGTTATTTACTTCACTATCCTTCATGTCATATCGGAAACCCCATCGACATATACAAAGCCAAACGGATAATGACACCAAAAGTAAAACAGCTGCTAAAGGCGAGGCATAAACTTGGATGTTAAACATTTCATCTATCAACTTTCCGCATGCTTAATCGTCTTTTTTAATTCCAGGATTATGACGCCTTTCATATCTGAGCACTTTTGAAAGTTCCTCGAAGCGCACCTCATCGTACTGAAAAATAAATATAGTTTGCAATCCTATAATTTCTTGGGTCGTTATTCTTATCAAAAGTCTCATAATATAACAAATGTTATTAAAAATTCAACCCTTAAAATATAACTAGCACCCACCAAACACACTGTTAAAACTACATAACACTGGAATAACGTGATATATAACGAATATTATTCAAAAGATACATTAATATCAGATAACGTCGAATAACTACCCTTCGGTATCATTGTTACATACTTGTAAGCACTGCAGTTGTATAACATTAACATAATATATAACATGTTACCGATATGTTATGTATATGTTACATTATTCGTTTTATAACAGGGTTAAATAACTGCGAAGGAAATAGTAATACAAATGTTACTTTTATGTTATATATTATATTACATTAAATGTTACAAACGTTATGTAACAGTTATATTATTGTTATGTTACCGCGTTTGGTGGGCACTTCCTGAAAAAAAAAGAAGAAAAATGTTAATTTAGGTTCAACTTTCAAAATGCATAAATGTGTTAACGATTGTAATAGAAAACTGTTACGTATTGTTATATGACGTGAAATTGTTGTCATATCAAAACGCCTCCTGATTATAAAACCCTCGTAGGAAATTGTCTCCGGTAATAATATTATATTATTTATAAATTTTTCCTCTGCTTTAGTATTTTTTTACGTGGATATTTCCTTCCCAACGCTCATATATTTTAATTATTTATATCAGAATCTACATTACTGAAATTGATCCGGCCACTAATTCCGTTGCTTAAGACGTTTATGACATTCCTGTTAAATTGGGTTAATTATAAACTAATAATTGTACAGTTAATCTTGGCCTGAATGCAGTTAAATAATTATACTGCGGAGCTATATTCTGCTGCTTATTTCCGGGAGGATGGAATAGTATCTATTTTGAACAAATTGGGTTAAGCAATTTATATAAAATAATTGGACCTGATGATCACGGAGTTTAAAATAAACAAACTGTGCCAATTTCCTGTATCACCTAATTTCGTGATGGAACGATAACGTCGCTTCCTTGATAGGAAGTTTTGGAAGATCACATGTATCGTAATTAGCTTACCGTTCAATTTGGAAAATTAAATTATGGAGGAGTTTAAAATAAACAAACTGTGCCAATTTCTTGTCTCACCTAATTTCGTGATGGAACGATAACGTCGCTTCCTTGATAGGAATTTTTTGAAGATACCATGTATCGTCATTAGCTTACCGTTCAATTTGGAAAATTAAATTATGGAGGAGTTTAAAATAAACAAACTGTGCCAATTTCTTGTATCACCTAATTTCGTGATGGAACGATAACGTCGCTTCCTTGATAGGAATTTTTGGAAGATATCATGTATCGTCATTAGCTTACCGTTCAATTTGGAAAATTAAATTATGGAGGAGTTTAAAGTAAACAAACTGCCAATTTCTTGTCTCACCTAATTTCGTGATGGAACGATGACGTCGTTTCCTTGATAGGAATTTTTGGAAGATACCATGTATCATCGTTAGCTTACCGTTCAATTTGGAAAATTAAATTATAGAGTCAATGGGAAACGGGAAACTCTGACTCTCGTGAAACTTTTTTAACTCCAATTGATACTACCGTAAACGATTCAACGTATTCTATAAGTATCTTCGTATGTGAAAAGGTAATACATGTGTTTTCTTGATTCTTATCCCAGTACATCAAAGAGCCAAGAGTCATTTTCCTTTTTCGTCTGTCGGCAAACTCGATAATTTTCTCATATTTTCTAACCCTCAACTTCAATTACTAATCACGAGAAATTTGGCACCAGACTGAAAAAAGGAAACACGACAGGGCCGATTTATTGAGTTGCATTTTTTTCCACAAAGTATGTCGAAAATAAAAAAGATTAATAGCCTCGGTGAGTCGATAAGAATATTTAATTTTGTGCTAATATTGTATCAATAAGCTTGTACAAGGTGCCGAGTTTTTTAACACTTCCCTAGTAGCACAAAATATTTGTCCTATATTTTCTATATATTTAACGAATATCGTACATTTTGTAAATATTTAGCAGACATTTGAAATATTAGCAAAACGTTTACTTTANGCATTTTCCTTACCATCCACCGAGAGAAAGGGAATCCCATCTTCGAAACACCGCGAAGATCTGTGGACTTTAGTTTTAGATTGATAGTGATTGGGCAATATTTACATTTTAATTACCATCATAGTAGAAAATCGTGAAACGTGCATACAGGAATGGAACAGGAAACAGCAAATGTATATTCGTAAAGTTTATTAGTTAATCGCTATTAGTAACACTGGATTACAAAATATACCGACAACGCAACCCGTTAAGCGATGAAGTTAATAGTCCCGATATTTGTGTAGAATGTACGCGAATAAGTAGATCTTGCATTTACGATTGCAATCATGTCGATTGTTAGTGATACGTAGAGTATACTTAAAAGTTTATGTTTATGTGGTTTACTTACGGCTAATAGTACCCTAAGCCTATCGGCGAACCTTCCTGATAACTAACAATTTCATTATAAATGACTCGTACGAACACATCTCTCGCTTTTTGAGGACATTATCAGAAATTCACTGTTTATCATTAACCCTTTCACCCCTTGTATCAATCTGCATCGATTCTCGCTTTTCTTCCGGCGATTGTAGAACTTTTTTCCTGTATACTCATTTACTTAACCCTTAATCGGAGATTTGGCTAATTTGACCCAGTGTTATCATATCACAAATCTATAGTTTGCATATATAATCATCACCATATTCTCACGTAGGTGGTCAAGAAACTCGGTAGAGTTTCAAGCCAAATACATTTGTAAGCGAGATTGCCATTGACTATATATACCTAGTAGCACAAAATATTTCTCATATATTTTCTATATATTTAACNTTCAAGAAATATTTCGGATATCTTCGAATGAAATCTACAAGAAATCTTGAAAAATCTGTCGCTTGAGATATTTAACAAAGATTACAAAGAAATATTTAGAAATTATTCTATGCTACTAGGGATGTCATGTATTATTTGTTCCACCCTTAATGTCTGGGGTAGATGTCCACTCCATATCTTTTTGCTTTACCAAATGTTTCTTATTTGCATGGTTCGTTGATAAAAACATAATTTAAAGACTAATGAATCATAGAAATTGTCAACATGAAAGCAAAGATTCAAAATCTACTGGGGTGGGTTTATATTCCAAATACGGTTAATAATAGTTGGAAAGAAAAAAAAAAAAGGGGGAATCTATTTCTTGATGAGAGACACTTAGAATTTCGTGTATATTTATGATACGATGAAGTTAGGTCATAACCAAATTTCCGTTTAAGGGTTAATCGTCTCTTCTTTGCCAAATAATTCTTTTTTCTTCTTCTTCTTTGCCAAATGAATTTCGAAGAAATTTCAAATACGTCTTCTTGTTCACTTAATTCTGCAAAGGAGGAAATGACGTCGATGATAAGCACAAACGCGAATGGACGAGTGAATGTTCTTAAAGAATTTCATGTCACTGGACGAAGAATCGCGGTTAGAAGTTTAAGGGGATGTCAAAGTGAAATGAAAGATTTCTCGTTCATAAAGCTTTTCTCCAAACTGAACCCACCGAATAATTCCACACTTTACAATGTAAATATAGAGGCTATAAGGAAGGTCCTGACACCCATAAAATTCCATTTTTTATGAAAAAAAAATTAGAAATGTCTATAAATAAATTTAAAAAAGAATTGAAATGTAATGGGTGTCAGAACTTCCTTTATAATCTTCATATTCATGTTGTTGAGTTTGAAACGATTCGGTGCACCCAGTTCGGGAAAATGTTTCATAAATAAGACCTCTGACGGCACTTTTACACCACCTTAAATCTCAACCTCGTTGGAAAACTGAATTAGATGTATCGTGGCCCTCTTTTTTGAGTTCCAAAGAAGGTTCTACCGATTATCACGAGCACGATGAACTCTTCCCACTTTGGGTTAAAAATCTGTAATATTTACAAGGCTCCGTGTGTACCATGGTGTTCTACGAACGTGTTCGAGGTGGATTTCGAAATTCGTGAAACCAGGAATTTCCTTCCCATCACCTCTTTCTCTCTGCCAATAAAGCGATTGGTTCAATTCCACGGGGGACGGTATTGGCAAAAACGTACAAATAGAACACCATTGTCGAAACACTTACAGCCAATATGCATTGAACGACTTACCGCTAATTGTTTACTTATCGATTAAGTCGTTTAGTTTATTCTTAAGGGAGTTAGTAGGTCGCGTAATGCGGTTCAAAGTGAGTTTAAACGAGTACAAAAAAGTGCGGAAAGTATCTTCTCGTGAGATTGTTTTATTTTTCATGTGTTCCGAAGAATTTAAGACAAAAAGTATCGGAGAGTCTTTAAAAATGACGGACTTGCAAAGGTTGGAAATTTATGATTTTTTTTTTACTTCTCTCGGTGTTCGTGGTTCCAGGACAAGAAATCGGAAATATATAGTTAAGGTGGTTTTGTAAAAGTGGATAAGAATATTTAAGAATCAATGGCAGGGAATTTTTGACGAAAATTTTTATTCCGCTGATGTCAACGATTGAAATACGTGCAAGAACAACGGGAAAGTGATTTCTATTGACTGTTCTATTTTCTCCAGATTTTCAATTTCTTTTTCATCGAAAATTCGTGCCATCGGTTCTTAAATTATCTTTTTTCAGTTTTGTAAAACCATCGTAATTTTTTTTTGTTCCGACTTGTTCTGAAATCACCGTGTAAAGACCGTCATAAATCTCTACATTGTTAAAAATATTTAACACGTGTAGTCCAAGTTTTTCCAAAGTGCAGTACTTCGAAATTATGTATAGAATTGTGTTTGGATTTTTATGTACAAGTATACGAATTTCACAGGACATGTACTTTTGTTGGCATTTTTTATATACTTATTTCCGATTACATCGATGAAAATTCGTATGCAATTGCGTACAAAGGTACATATATAGACGTACGACTGTCACAAGACACGTATACAAAAACTCGAATGCTGTTGTACGCTGCCTTTCGATTACGTACTTGTACACAATTGCATGTATTTTAAGAAATATGCATTGTCATACATTTCTTAAAATTTATACCGATTACTTTTCTCGTCTTACAATTTCCTTGAAGATGGACAGTTTTGCACGAATTTTCACATGTAAATGTTGTATTCGAAACTTAGCATACATTTGTCCGGTTTCCAATTCGTGTCATTTTTGGTTTGGACAAATATACATTTGTATTCGTCAGTGTTGAAAATATAGAAATATTTTCACAACCGCAGTCGTCACAACCCCGGCATTTTGAATCGCTTTGAAACCTTCTCGATCTTAAATTTCTAAAAAAAACTTTTTTAAAGATAAAAGAAAATAGCCGCGTAAGTAAACTTGTCCCGCACCGATTCATTCGGTTTTAATCTCACTCTGATTAAAACGCGTTTCACGTTTTACTAACCCCCTTAAGGCGATGTGAAAGAGACGTCAGAGGTCTCGTTTATGAAATCTTTCTATAAACTGAGTGCACTGAATCGTTTCAAACTAAAAAACATGAACATGGAGACCATAGGGAAGGTCCGGACGGCCTTAAAATTTCAATTTTTTAAACATTTGTTTGCAGGTATTTAAAAGATTTCTAATAAAAAATGAAATTTCATGAGGGTCAGGACCTTCCTTATATCCTCCATGGTCAAGTTGTAAAGTACGAAACGATTTGGTAGACCCAGTTTGGTGAAAAGTTACTCTCTAATGCCACTATCACATCCCCCTTAATGATTATAAAGTGGCGCTATCACGCAGGAGCTCCGACGGTGGAGAATTCTCGCGATTGTGAATTCGATCCTTCCTCTGCGATATATATATCGATCGTACGCCTCGAAACTCCTGCAAGATTACATACGAAGTAAGATTAATTGTAAAACAACGTATCGCGTACACTGGGAGACATCAATGCCCTCCCATCCTGCACAAGCGATGCCGTATCTCCAGGGGAGGCATTCATGTCCGCCATTGTACAAGGACGACCCGTAGGGGCTCTTATCGTGTAAAGGAATTTTGAAAAATCATTATAAATAGCGCCTCTACGATCTCATACGTATGTATATGTACAGGCTTACGTGCTACATGAAATATGTATCGTTATTTTCGAAAAGAGGGTGTCCCTTCCGAATGCCTCCTCAGCCAACGGCGTGCAATAAAAAAATAATTCCGATCACTGCCGGCCTAATGGATATGTAAAGTCTCCGAGGCTCTTTGCTTCGCGATTAAAGAAATTCTCAAAATCGAGCACCGAGTCTCTCTTCGGCCTCCGGCAAAATGGACGCCACTTCCTTCGCAAGCTCTGCCGATTCTGGGCGAACTAAAGTTTGTCGAAAAGACGTCATGCTCTATGATTAACTGTACAACGACTATATCTGCCCGAACAAGGAACTTCTTGCATAAGCATGCGGTACAAATTGTTCCTCTCTGGACGCGGCATGCACCTTGATACAAGGTTTACCCAGAATTGTCGAGCCGTAGAGGAAGACTCGTTCGATCCATTTCTGCGGACTTAAATGATGAAGGAAACGCCATTGTTCCTTTAGTTTCTGAACCTTACCCGTGTATTAAAGGGCCATTTAATTGCGTATCCATAGATACGACAATTGTAACGAGGATTGATATCTTTTGGAGCGCTAATCGTGAATTACTATTAGGGAAAGAATCGATGCAACGAGTCTTGCTCTCGGCTTCTACAATTTCTCTAGTTCTCTTTTAA